GGTTTGACAAGTAGCCAGTAGACAGATACACCAAGAGGAAGAGGAGGCAAGGTTTTTAGCTTTCTTGACACCTATAGCTATGGACGGAGTTGTACAAAGTACTTCTTTCACCATGGCGCCCCGTAGCACCCAGCAAACATTTTGAAGTGTTCGAAGTGGGAGCATTACTAAGGCGGCGTATGCGGAAGGAAGAAAGGCATGTGTCATGAGGATGTCAGTTATTTCAATGGTTCCTAGTTACAGGTGCTGTACCGCGACAGATAACGCACCCGAAATTAATGCCAAGGGGAATTGATCGTATTCGAATGACCACTTGCTGAAATGCTGGGTGCAGTGCTCTCTCTTCTTCCATGGCTACTACATACCTAATACAATCTTGAACCGACTCGCATACGACTCACTTCACCTCGCTTCCTGTCTTCTACGTTCCTTTTCTTTCGTCCACTGTTCACTTCTTCGAGTTCTCCGTCCGACCACATCCAAACTTATCGTATCATTCCCCATCCATTGGCGCCTCCGACTTGCTTGCTTAGTATTCACCCCGTCCTTGCGGCGTTTCATCTCACGACAGCATTCAAAGGCTAGACCAACGGATATATCAAGGGTACTCCACTTCTCACAAGCTTAGAATATATTAAGACCCATACGACACGGTGTAATGGCGTCCAGTACTTCTCCCAATATCCCTAGCACCTCTGCTAACGACACATGCACTCCGAGCATGAGCGGAATAAAACCTCGTTTTATTGGAGCAGTCGAGGATGAGTGGGAGCTCTATAGGTGAGTAGTGGTTGCTTCTCACCATAAGGTGTTGGGCTCATTCTAATACAGTGACCGTTCATCTGACTACACAATAGGTGCATCAATAGGTTTCGGCGCTTCTTCAATCGTATATTCTGCTCTTTACAATCCTGCAACATCTGATTCCTCTGTGAAACCTTCAAAGCCTATCCCATGTGCTCTTAAAGTCCTCGACCTTGACTCTCTTGCACCGCGTTCGCTCCAGCTCTTGCAACGAGAAACGACACTCATGTCCTTATCTAAACACCCAAATGTTCTACGTGTCCGGGGATCCTGGATGGACGGACACAAACTCTATATCGCGTTGCGCTTGATGAATAAGGGAAGCGCCGCTGATGTTATGCGGTACGGATGGCCGGGGGGCATGGAGGAAGACGTCTGCCGGTGTATTCTTGCGCAAGCACTTAAGGGCTTAAAGTTTGTTCCATTTTTAGTTTCATATTCACAAGATTGACATTTGGTATCAGTTACCTTCACATTAACGGGTTTATTCATCGCGATGTTAAAGCTGCTAATTTACTTATCGACGATGATGGAACTGTCCTCTTAGGCGATCTTGGGGTTGCAGCTGATCTTACGGAAGATTCATCGCTTTCCACGACTACATCATCTTCGGTAACAGCTACAGCTGCACTAACCCAATCACAATCTACACAAGACATAAAACACGGTCCTAGAACGGGCAAACGGACTGTGGCTTTTGATCTGTCCAAACCAAAAATGGGTAAACGGAAGTCATTCGTTGGCACTGTAAGTCTCTCGTTAGTAATGCCTAGTATGGCCCAGCTGATAGTATTTTCAGCCATGCTGGATGGCGCCAGAATTAATTCAAGGACGCCAATATGATTCGTCCGCCGATATCTGGAGTTTTGGTATCACTGCTTTAGAGCTGACACAAGGCCGACCTCCAAAGTCAAGAGAATCACCCCAAAGTGTCCTGTTGAGGACGTGAGTTAAACCTTCGAAGTGAGCTGAACAGAATTCTCATGGCCATATGTAGAATCCAAGATGATCCTCCATCTTTGAACCGTGAAGGCGGCACATATAAATATTCTCGTACTTTCAAGGAAGTTGTAGACAGCTGTTTGGTGAAAGAACCTTCTGAGCGGTTAGTTTTTAAAACAAGTTTTAGAAATGATGTGACGAGAATTCGTCGTTATAGCCCCACCGCAGAAGAACTTTTACAGACCCCATTCTTCAAGGCTGCGAAGAAGACATCGTATCTTGTCAATGCCATTTTGAGTGCGTTACTTTTCATTATACTACTTGAGGCTATGCTAACCAGTGTTTTAGAGGACCTTCCACCTTTAACCCAGCGACAAGAACGCCGTATTGCCAAAACCCACCATACCCTTCATTCCTTGGATTCGTGGGACTTTAATACCACTGTCCATTCACCCACCAGTAGTGTTTATCGGCGAAAAGCTCTTGAAGACATGGTAGCTGCTGAACGTGAGGCAGATACGAATCAAGCCGAAGGAGTTTTCGAGATGGAGGAAGAGCGAGAAAGATGGAGGACAAATGAAAGGAGGGAAGTTGATCACTCCAGTCGTGCCCATTCTGCGAACGTCTCGTTTGCTGAAGAACCGATTATGGAATGGGTAGAGGACACTGTTGAGCCAACATCCGCGTCCCCAACTGCCTACCAGACTTTCATTCCAAATTTAGATCCTGCTAGCGAGAGCTCGTCACCTTCGCCGCCGCCTAGCCCCTCTACTGCACCTTCATCCTTTCCCGACTCATTACCAATACACGACAAACACGAAACTGCTGCATTAACACCGGCTCCGACTCTATCACCTGCGCAGGCCCCAAAGGCTACAAAAGGCACTGCAGTGATTGGAACAAAGACACCGGAGACCGCAACAGAGGGACAAGCGACCATAACAGAGACACAGGACGTGACAAAGACACCAGAGGTTCCAACAGAGGCACCAGAGACTGTAACGGCTGCCCGACCGGAATCAAGACCTTCAATAGCACCGACTTCAGGGAATCCTCGCAGTCTGTGGCGCAAATTCAAGAGTAATGTGCGTAGACCGTCATCTCGAGGTGGCCCTACATCAGATGATAAACCTGCAACCGAGAATACGCAAACAGCGGAGGAGAAAGGGAGCCTCAAGAGCAGTAAGAGCAAGCTGTCTCGTCCAGCTAACATGACGGCTCATGCTGTTGGTATGTCCATTCATGACATTGGCTTTCCGATTAACATATCTAACTGACTCGACATTAGGTTTGAAGCGGGGCAAGTAATATACTTCCTGCACCTAGAAACAATTCACGAAGTTAACGATTGCAACGACTATTTATCGTATGTAATGTATGCATCTCATAATATTTATTCCATGTATATAGTGTATTACCACCACCTCACTTACATGCACACAGCTTCATGCTTTGTAGTAGTATGCGATCATTTTGCATAACAATTACCTATACACATTTGCGACGGCATATATAATACGCTTTTCTGGTCAAATCTTTCCTCGAACGCAATATGGATGCTAGGGACTGAGAAATAAGTGCACGATGATAATGGAAGAGCTTGCTAAAATACAGACGTTTCTCGAGAGCGATGATATGCACAGAGGAAGAGACAGAGCAGAAGGAGATCCAGTACACTGCATCTTAATGACGATCGCCCCAATCTGGGCCTGGGATCCCCCCTTGTCTACCCATACCTCGCCTACGAGGACCTCTATTGTCATCGCGTCCAGCAGTCATCACTAGATGCTTGTCGACAAGCTGGACGGGTAGATATCAGTAAGTTGTCTGAAAAGATGTAACAGTGTAACGCACGTCATTCAAGATATTAGCAGACTTAGTCAAGGAAGAAAGGAATGCGGTGAGTTGAACATCTTCGTATTCCTTATTAAAAACAAGGCTATCAGAGAAAGTCGCGGGTGGCTTTATAATGTACGAACCGTTTCAAACTCTTGACGGAATTCTTTGTTCTCCGAAGCAGGTAAAGAAGCAACCAGAGCTGCCAGTGCCCGAAGCGTCGCATGGTCCTTGGTCGCTTGCCCTCCAATTACTTCGGTGACATACTTCACAAGCAGCATGATGCGCTCGTGAAGCATCTTTACAGCCGACCTCTGCGTCTGTAGATGCGATTCCACTACAGGGAGGATCAGTATATACGAAACAGTAAGTGAGACAGGAAACCTACAGCTTGTGCCACTTCCCCCTCCCCGAGCAGTCCAGTCAACGGCAATACGCTCTGCCTCCCCAGTTTCTACGGTGTATGGCACTTCGATGAAAATGGAGCGCGATTTGCGTTCACGAATTTCGATCGAGGGCTCGAATGCTTTGAAGGGAAGTGCTTGGGCGTTAACATCAGGCGTAATTGTAGATCCATTGGGTTGGAGAAGAAGTAGTAGCGGTGTTGAGCAGTATCGAGTAAACTAGATGTCAATAAATTAGTGTTAGATAATTAAATTGGAGATAAGAGCTCGCTTGTTCGTGTAACGCGATGTGGCGTGCTATTGGACGAGGTGCCACTGTATACCATCCAATGAACTCAAGTGAAGGGAAGACCTGCTTGTCTATAACGCGTGATTAGCCCATAATTTTCAAGGAATTAAGATCCATAGCAAGTAACTCACATTGATCGCGTCTTGATGTAAGGAAATCATGGTCCACTACCTCGCCCTCGCCCTCATTGATCGCAAGCTCGAAGGTGTTCACGATTTCCACTTCTCGTCCATTTTGCGTTCCAAGAAGCGCTCCTAGAACTGTATGCAGGTTAGTAGTAAATAAGGACAGAAAGCTAATTGTAATACCAAAAGGATTCGACGAGTTCTTCTGGAGCTTCAGACGAGTCAAATGTTCAGATATGTTGAGGATAGGCAATGGGTGCCTAATCGCCTTTCCTGTTAGACTCCCAAGAGGCGAGGAGGCGGTAGTATCACTTACAAAGACAATGAGAGACCAGATGTAGCATTCGATGCGAGAACAACAGAGACTTCGTCGGTGTCCATCGCGCTCATGGTGGGAGGTCGTCGTAGATTGAGATAAAGTGCTATAATGCACGTGATGAATTTGAGATAGACGCGCGTCGTTGCGCACATCACACGCGTCGAGCTGCACAGACACCAATGCTAAATCCCCTCATGTGAATAACAATGAAATAGAGGTATATAATCAAACTATAGCTTTTTTAGGAGGTACAAAAAGCTTACATGAGTCGAGAAAAGTTATTCCTTCTAGCCGACTTGAACGACTGACCTCGTCATAGCAATACGATACTAGTGACGCGCTCTACCAACTGAGCTAAGAAGGACTTACCTTCCCTGATACTGAATAAGCTATATCCACATTACTAGAAATCTGCACTACACAGAATCTCGGCTATACTACTACCATCTCGACAAGAGCGCACCCGATCGTGGTTTAACAGCCGCCAAACATTGTTCACCTGGACGGAAGAGCAACAACTCTTCATATCCGTCAATGTCTTAAACAGTGACATAGATTCATGGCCAATCTGTCGCTGTTTATCAACGGATAGGTGGATTTTTACGCCTGCTGAGGCCGCTGCTATCGCGAGAATAAGGGATTTGACGATGGGGTCACCACCAAAGGCACCAGCTCCCCATAACGGTGAAGCAATTTCAGTAGCAGCACATCTTCGAACAGCCGCAAAACCGGTATAGACTTTAAGCAGATCTCGTTCCAAATTCTTTGGAATAAGGTCAGCAAGAGAAGATGACTCCGACGTATCAAGCTCTGTGGCATCGACGAGAAGAAAACCATGGGCGCTACATTGAATGGACATGCCAGTCCGACAAGCATGTCGTCCTTGTCCTTTCCAAGTAGACACGGGTATGATTCCATGTGTTAAGAGTGCTGCATCAGACGGTATGGGCGGAGCAACACAGAGCGCTCCTAATGGAAGCAGGGCTGGGCATGCCGCCGTTACGAGCTCCTCCTGAGTACAAGATGCCCCGAAGCCTGGAGACACGTTTGAAGCAATTAACATATATTTCAGAGACTTGTGCGGAAACTCCACTGAAGAAGCCTCAGTCGAATCAATCTCAAGATAATCGAAGACACGGGCAATCGATATCTGCCATGGGTATTCTCCTTGTTTGAATATAGGTGCTGAGTAGAATTCATAGGTTGTAGAGTGATTATTATCCGATATGCAGCTCATGTAATGGAATAGAGTTTCAAGATAGCCACGCACAGCTGAGTCCATAGGTTGAGGCGATGAATACCAACAGAGGAAACTGCAACCCCATGCATTTCCTTTCGGAGGTTTAACAGTTCCTAGAATCTGATGAGCTATTAGCGATTTCACTTGCGCATCAGTTAGATGAAGGTGAGGGTTTTTCAGGTTAAGATAAGGGATTTCACGTGTAGGAAAGACGGTGGGTAACGCTAGAGCTGAGTGCAGAATTGCATCGAGGAGGTTTAGAGCATTGTCTGCTCGAGCATCCGGGTATGAATCAGTGAGGAAGTGCTGAAGAAATGCGGTATTGACGCTGCCTTTGTGATGCAGCGAATAAGCTAAGTCTTCGATAAGAGAAGGCAGTCGATGGAGGTCGGTGTGCCTCTCAGAGCGAAATAAAGATATAGAAGCAGTGATCACATCCCAAGCGGTAGGTTCTTCTATCTCAGAGACGCCCAAAGGATCAAGCGAAGTAATGGCTGGATGACAAGGAAGGAGGTATGCATTTTCCATGACTTATAAGGTCAAAAGTTAGAAATACCCTGCTTGAAGTTCATATTTGCAGTTGAGTGCATTAGTGTCGATTACATAATCTACACGCGAATGAGCCTACCCTAAATCTCGTTACCCACAGACAGGAACTCCCTTCACTCGCATTGTCTTTCCACCACGCACCAGTCGACCATCCCCATCACGTCCTATACCCTTCATACCCTTGAAATGTCCGGATTCGACGCGAACAATGTCTACACCGTGTCGGTGCACTCAGTGGAACCACCGCCGCAGGATTCGCCTTCGGAAACCGAAAAACTTCTCGTCGATTTTCTTATGAGCTTTCGCGTTGGGGGTGAATTCGTCTACCGGTGCGAGGCTCTTTTTTTCTCGCGCATATACACTTGCTCATATACAACAGTGATAAACTACGTGCAAATCTACTTTTGAAGCAGCACCTGATCGAAGTTGACCTTCGTCACGTCAGCTTGTTCAACGACGAGCTGGCACACGCGATTCAAGACAGGCCTGCAGATGTCCTGCCGCTGGTATGTGCGTCCTCACCGTTTCTATTATTGTTTCCTAAATCCTCTGGTGTTCCAGTTTGAAAATGCTGCTACCAAAGCTGCCCGTACAATCTTGTTCCCGACGACAAACTCAGAGGAGCGTCGAGAGGCAGCAGCTCAATCGATACCCAAAGTACAAGTCACGCTCCGCTCCAGCCTCAACCTTCTTCAATTCCGCGAACTCACCGCCAATACCATGAATAAGCTAGTCCGTATACCCGGGATCGTCATCTCTGCATCCGTCCTTTCGTCGCGTGCAACAAAGCTCGTTCTTCAATGCCGTGCTTGCGGATCTACCAAAATTATTTACCCTCAAGGTGGAATGGGAGGTATTGGAAGTGGTGGCGACAGAGGTCTGCCGCGAGTTTGTGACGCGCCTGAGCCTGAAGGACAAGGAAAAAAGGATTGTCCAATGGACCCATACCTCATCATCCACTCCAAATCGACATTCGCTGACCAACAAACTCTGAAATTACAAGAAGCACCTGATATGGTTCCAGTCGGAGAACTCCCTAGACATATGCTCTTGTCAGCGGATAGACATCTTACTGGAAAAGTCGTACCTGGCTCGCGTGTAATCGCGACCGGTATTTACTCAACGTTCCAATCTGCGAAGAACGTATGTAAACTTATTTTCTTTAATTGCCATGTATTGAAAATGATACATTAGAAAAACGCTGGTCCAGCAGCACTTCGTCAGCCCTATCTTCGCGTCGTTCATCTTGAGCTCTCATCTCCCGCATCTGGTGGAGGTTCAAATCCATTCGGCGTTCAGTTCACACCTGAAGAAGAGGAGGAGTTTGGTGAAATGGCCAGAAGTGACGGATTTTACGAGCGTTTTGCGAAAAGTGTTGCGCCTAGCATCTTCGGAAGTCTTGGTTCGTTAAGTTCCTTGCTCCTTATTCTTTCATTCTAACTGATGGTCCAACATAGACATCAAGAAAGCTATCACATGTTTACTCTTTGGTGGTTCGAAGAAAGTCCTTCCGGATGGTATGAGACTTCGTGGAGATATCAATGTCCTTCTACTTGGTGATCCTGGTACTGCCAAGTCCCAGCTCCTTAAGTTCGTCGAGAAGGTATATCTTTCTCAAGCGTTTGTATTTCCTAACACTAATGATTCCTAGGTTGCACCCATTGCTGTATACACATCAGGAAAGGGATCTAGTGCAGCTGGTTTGACTGCCTCTGTACAACGTGACTCTGTTTCTGTATGTCAGATTCAAACATCCTTTACTATCGCCAAACTGACTGATTTACAGCGTGAATTCTATCTCGAAGGCGGAGCCATGGTTCTCGCAGATACTGGTGTAGTCTGTATTGATGAGTTCGACAAAATGCGAGACGAGGATCGAGTGGCTATTCACGAGGCCATGGAGCAGCAGACCATTTCTATCGCAAAGGCTGGTATTACAACCGTTCTTAACTCGCGTACTAGCGTTCTCGCTGCTGCCAATCCCGTGTTTGGAAGATATGACGAGGGCAGAAGTCCTGGAGAGGTATAACATTTCATCCTACTGTATACAAGTATACTAATGTCTATTCTTTAGAACATCGATTTCCAAACTACCATCTTGTCTCGATTTGACATGATTTTCATCGTCAGGGACGAGCACAATGAGGCTCGCGATATGGTTAGTGCTGATGGTTTCAATTGCATTTATTGCTAACGTTCCCATTAGCAAATCGCCGAACACGTAATGAACATTCATATGAACCGACCAAATCAACCCGAGGAGAATGGCGATGGTGTCGGTGAGATTGACCTTGACAAGATGAAGCGCTATATTGCGTACTGCAAGAGGTAAGTTGTTATTTTTTTTTAGGCCCAAATGTGGACTAATGAATCCTTAACAGCAAGTGCGCACCTCGTCTCTCGGCTGATGCACAGGAGATGCTCAGCAGTCACTTTGTAAGCTTGCGAAAGCAGGTGCAGCAAGTTGAACGTGATAACGACGAACGTAGTTCCATCCCTATCACCATTCGGTAAGTGTTACCATACTTATGTATCTGTTCTTCGCTTATATTCATTGCAGTCAACTGGAAGCCATCATCCGCATATCAGAGTCGCTCGCCAAACTCACACTTACTCCCGTCGTTCAAAATCATCATGTCGAAGAAGCCATCCGATTATTCAAATTCTCTACCATGGATGCCGTTTCTGCAGGTTCTGCAGATGGTCTTTCTCGTGGAGAATTGAACGAAGAGATGACGCGCATTGAGCGTGAGCTCAAGAAGCGTTTGCCTGTTGGCTGGAGTACAAGCTACCAAAGCCTGGTGAGGGAGTTTGTGACGCAGCAGGGATACTCAAGTCATGCACTCGAGAGGACGCTATTCATTCTCGAGAAGAGGGAGATTATTAGGTTTTCGGGACAAAAGAAGGTAGTGCACCGGTTAGTTGTTTCTTTCTTCCGATATTTGCCACTTTCTGAATGTTTACTTTTGCAGATGCGGTGTTTAAGAGCTCTGTCCCTAAGATATCTTTTTCGCAGTTGGATCTCATGCTTTTTAATGTAACAATATTGTATCTCTAAACTAATAAAATGTAACCAGAATGTAACCTTAGTGTCATTTACCAATTCTGAAGCAGTGTGATGCTATCGTTGTACAGCGCGAGGGGCACACGCAGTATGACACCCGGACACTTTCACAAGGGCCTAACATGCGGCTTTATTCCACGGCAATTGTTATTGTGCGAAGGTTCGGTAAACGCCTTTCATGTTCGAAATAAAGATATTTATAAATGACACTATTTATCGCCCGCCTAGCTCAATCGGATAGAGCGTCAGACTTTTACGGAAGTCCGGGTGATTGTATCGCAGGATTCTGTGATCTGAAGGCTGCGAGTTCGACCCTCGCGGTGGGCTATTCAGTTATTTTTTCCCCCTACATCTGTGCTCTAATAAACCAGAGCCCAGACTCCTCTGTACTGTGCACAACTGCAAACCGAGCTCCGTGATTGTGCCAGTAGTTTAGGGACTGGGACTACGCTTGTTCTTCGAAATATCGAACTCTTATTGCAACGGGTATCTTAGGTGCGGCCTTGATTAACATTCGACATCCCCCCAGTCAGTATTAATACCATACCCTAGCAAAAATGACAGTAGCCCACCGCGAGGGTCGAACTCGCAGCCTTCAGATTTCCACGGTATGATCGTGTTATCATAACCCGCCTAAGAGTCTGACGCTCTATCCGATTGAGCTAGGCGGGCTTGCAACACAAATATCAATAGCGGTATAAATTAGCATGATTTTGCCGGGGTTAAGGTTTTTGTGACTGTTCATTTCAGTAATTCACCGAGATTGCAAAGGGTCGCCTGCGGCACGGGTTTGGCGCGCGTAGTTACACCCCCTGGATGTGAAGCAACCTCCATGGTGATCGGGAAGTAACATGATACGGTTTCTCAACAGCAGTCAGACGGTGGGCGTTGTGAAAGAGTGAAAATAGGATGAAGATCGATCGCTGCCTTATTGTTTTCATGATATGTAGGAAGTTAGTGTTTGGGATTGGTTTGCTTCATTCTTCAATGGAATAAAGAAAGACCTTGCTATTGGAAGAGGAAAACATACGGTAGTAGCAAAGATTTCGATCACATAAAAAATAGTTGACGAAGCCGAGGGCAGTGTATTGCAGTGCTGCGTACGTGGACAGGATAACGCGATCGGCAGGACCACGTCCCTGGGAGCTGCGGATATGTCGTGTTGGGTGAAGTGAGTTGTTGAGGAAGTGCATATGGACCGCGGCATGAATGGCATGGAGATCACGCTGGGCGGGGGCGCTTGTGGTTGGTCAATTGCGGGATCTGCGGACGCAGTCGCAGTGATAGTGTAAGTGAGTGCGCAGGAGTGGGCGGTTCAGAGAGAGCATGGATGAGATAAAATAAAAAATATAACCGTAATGTATTCAAGGTGAAAGCTGCAGACGAAGAGCACGGCGAGGAAGGAGAAAGTGCTTGGTATACGCGGTGTGGAGTCGAGTGGGAGGATAGGATCGAGCGGCGAGTGATGACCTCGTTGGGAGTAAGTATCCAAAAATAGTGAGTGATGTTGATGTGCTTACGTAAATGCGCAGCAATTGTATATGGTGTGGAGGTCTTAGATTCTCTCAAGAGCCTTTCATCCCTCCCACATCTCGTCTACTGCACCTCTACTGCTCACTAGTCTCTACTGCCCATCCCTCCCAGCCCGCAGCAATGTCAGAGACACACTATCAGCCTGCGTTCGATGCGCTCAACCTCGAGTACTCGAAGCAGCAGCAAAGCCTCGATTTCTTCTCGTTTCATTCTCCCTCAGACATCCTTGCCCCCCATCCAGATCTATTCGAGTCAGATATTGACTCAAACCTCGCTGCCTTTGGCGATCAACTCCAGCTTCTTACCGTTGACTCCTCTGACGCCTATTCAATTCTGAGGGCAGACCAGTTCGCTCCATGCGGCCCTCTGTCCACAATTACTGTCTCATCCGAGTCTGCTTATGACTCCATCTCAACCCGCTCTGAATCCTTCTATAACCACCCAAACTCGCCCTCTTATCCCCCTTCCAACTACTCCTTCCCCATTGACCTCGACATGGACTTCCAGCGCGTACGCGTAGGCTCCGAGTATGCCACTACTCAGCCCTCTATGGGCATGATTGACGACTCTACAGACCCCACCTCATTTGGCCCCCTCCCGCCTACTCCACCTCGCAGTCCCCCAGTCCCCCTTGCATACAACAAAGCATACGAGAAGGCCTACGAAAAACCCTTCCCCGGTCGCACTAGCTACTCCGACTGCGGCGCACCCAGACGCAGCTCCGTCCAGTCCTCAGCCCACTCGGACTACTACGGGCAGATTGGCTACAGCAGCCATCATATGGACACTGTCTCGCCCATCCACATGTCCACTCCCCTCCCATCCGTCCCCGCTATCACGCAGGCTCGCGTCGGCGAAGAATACAAAGGCGACCCGCGCAAGAAGTACAAGTGCGCCGTTTGCCCTCGTGGTAAGTAGCATGCTTCATGTCTCGGCTATTTTACTCACCTCCAATTGCAGCCTTTGCTCGTGCTTACAACTTGAAGACGCACATGGCGACCCACGACCCCAACCGTCTCAAGCCCCATGTCTGCCCCCACCGCGCGTGTGGCCGCTCGTTCAGCCGCAAGCACGACTTGGGCCGTCACCTCATCAGCATCCACCGCGATGACTCCGTCAGCGACTCTCCCTCTCACCACGGCTCCGTCAAGCCTATCGGTGTCGAGAAGGGCGCCCGAACTTGGTGCGACAGCTGCGGCAAGGGCTGGGTTGGCCGATCCACTCCCTGCGACTGCCATGATGTCAAGTAATTGAAGCAATTGTGATTTATTAGATCCTATGTCTCCCTTTGTGTTCGTGCTCTCTCTTTTTTTAAATTTATTCTCCGTTCTTATGCCCGCATATAGGCCCCGTTGCATACCTCCCTCCTCCGCGGCTCGTAGCAGGTTATCGTATTTTTGTGTGCCCATCTCAACCATCAACACCTTCCCCGGATACCCCAGATTATATTTTGTCTGGTATACTGCTGCCCGCCGTGCACATTCGTATGTGTCACGTACCGTACCGCCACTTGTTAGAAATACTTTGGCCCAGTGACGGACGTGACCGCGAGATGATATTTTCAATTTTTAATCTTTAATTTTTCCAATGTCTTTATTACCTCGATCGTGCCCTCCTTTTTCCTATGCTTGATATAACTTGTTTTGAATACTCGTTTGCTTGATTGTTATTCAATTTCTTTCCCCACTCGTTGATTTCACAAATTGGACAATCCAAAACTCTCCTTCAGTCTATAGTCTCTCATCTGTTAAAATTGAATACAATTGACGAAATATAGAATTGCTTCTCCCCATCTGGACGCTGTGGATTTCTGAGCACATTTCTCTGTCACGGTATCCACTTGGACTTGGCTTTGGCACTCACGAACAGCCAATCTAAAACATGTTGATAGCTAACGTGTCCTTCCGAGTCTTATTATGTAGTCCTCGGTGGTTTCGTGGCGCTGAGTGTCGCTAGCGAAGCATACGAACTCGGGTCTACTCTCCGCTTAAGCCGATCATACTTCTCATGCGCTTCGAGCGTGGATGGTCTTCGACTATGGATGGTATTTCCTGTCAGCGTCACAAGAGATTTTGGATGAGAGTTTTATACCATTTATTGAGCTACGCTATTTCTCTTTGTTCTTACATCCACGCCAAGGCACGGTGAATGGATGAAGGATGGATGAGAATGAGAATACTAGATAGGATGAATCTACAAATTGAAAAATAATGCTAGGTGATACAAATAATGAACTGATAAATACAGGCGCGTGAAGGGTCCGTTAGCCACATCACCCAAGAGTTCGTGCAAGTGTGTGGAACCATTAATTTCTTAATTATTCGAGCGCATGAGTAGCATAACGATAGCATAGGCATTCGCGACAAGCACGACGCACCACACCACGTATGATAAACACGCTAACCAACGGCTGTTGCTGAAGTCAATATAATCCTTAGCCATCTCCACTGAGGACGTCTCGACTTTCTGTCCTGTGATTTTCTCTTCAACGGGCATCGCGAGTGCGATGGGAGCCCCGTCGGTGTATTCGACTTCAGTACATATCCGGTCATGCGGCAAATCTTGAATGGAGGTTTCATCGGTCTCGGTCTCCACGAGCGCCGGTACCGGTTTGCGCACACGCATCACGACCGTACGGGAGGTGAGGTAGATGAGCGGGAAGGCGACGAAGGGGAGGACGATGGATAGGACGACTTGGGAGGCAACGAGGAGGGTGTTGATGCCTTCCTTGCCAACAGCGACTGCTACTACGACGGAAGGGACGAGACTTATGCAGCGCGTGATGAGGCGGCGGAAGAAGGGCTACGATAGTAGAATGGTTAGTGTGGAACGAAAGGAGAAAAATAGTATAGTGATCCGTACCGAGACTCGCCATTCAATGAAGCCTTCGGATACTATCTGCCCGGCGAGAGTAACCGTAATGCTCGACGTTTGGCCGGCGCAGAGCAACGCGAGTGCGAATACAAATGCAGCGGCTGATAATAGATTACGCGATAAGTTGCTGTCTGTGGTGATAAGATGCTGCAAGACTGACCTTTGCCTAATCGCTCATTGATGAGATCATGAGCCTCAAAGAGTCCCGCTGGAGTATTCCGGTGTTGACCTGGTCCATCGAAGAAGACCGCTGCAGCCAGAATGAGGATTCTATCCAATGCGAAACGTTAGCCAAAAGGAACGTGGGGCCAACGAATAGAAGACGAGACGAACGCGGAGTTAATTGGCACAGCGAGTGCAAGAAGACTCGTTATGACATCCACGATGCCATGTGAGAGGTGCTGGCGGATGAAGGACAGCGAGTTGTTCTCGCGATCACCGTACTTGGTCCGGTAATCTCTCGAGGCTGCAACACGTTCGGCACGCGACACAGCGAAGAGTGGAGTGATATACTGTTTCACGCGTGTCCAGAGACCTGGCCGTCGTCCTGCAGGTCCTGGTAAGGCTGGCTCCGTGACTGGTGCTAGTGACACGCGATCGAGAGCTGCAAGGGAGGAGCCAAGGAAGAGTGCGTGAGGCATGACGGTTGCACCCAAAATACCAACGGCTAAACAGTTTTTAGGATATGAAATGTGATTTTATTAATGCCGTATGATTCACCTGCATACACAGCATCTGGCTGGGATTGGATGAGCCCTTTGTTGGGTATGTAGCCCATGAATACTTGAGACCAATCTGGGCTAGCCTTGACAAGTAGTGCGATGAAGCAGGCGAAGACTGAAAAAACCTGAGAATGTATGTAATTAGCATGCATATAGTGGCACAAGTTCAGTTAATAACTTGCCAGACCAATGATGGCGAATTCGAACATCCTAACAGGACGACCGTTGCCTCGTGAAGGATCACTGAAAAACAAAAACACGAGCACATCTGCTGCAGTGAGAACGACCCCAGCCCATAGCGGCAACTTTGGGAATATCAAGCAGAAACCAATAGCAGAGCCCAGAAGTTCAGCGAGATCTGTCGATATAATCGCAATTTCTGCCAGGACGTATAAAGGATAAAGCACAAGTCGTCTAACCAGACGAGGATGTCGTGGGTGGTCATGTAGCAGTAGGCGACAATGTGAGGCAAGATCTAATAACTAGATTAAATAAATGTAGGTAGAGGACATTAATTAGACGTTACCAAGGCCAGTGACACAG